TTTTTTTTTTTTTTGAGACAGTCTCACTATGTTGCCCTCGGCAGAGTGCTATGGTGTCACAGCTCACAGCAACCTCAAACTCTTGGGCTTAAGCGATTTTCTTGCCTCAGCCTCTCAAGTAGCTGGGACTACAAGCACCTACCACAATGCCTGGCTATTTTTGTTGTTGTTATCATTGTTGTTTAGCAGGCCCGGGCCAAATCTGATGCATGTGGCCAGCACCCTAACCACTGAGCTACAGGCGCTGAGTCTGAGTTTCTCGCTTCTGCTTGTCAACATAGTTCTCAGGTATGTGTGTGATGACAAGTACTCACTTGTGTAGCAGTGATCAGCAAGGATCAGTATGGACTGTGTGAGTCAGCTGGGTCCAAATCCCAAATCCATCACTCCATGGGACCCCTCAAGCTGGTTTCTCAGGAAATCCAGTGAAATACACCTTGCTCCTGCCATCATGGGACCATCTCCCACCAACTCCTGTACATTAGAACACTAGGTAGGGCCGACTAGCTTGCCAAAACTGCTGAGTCATAAGGGTGCCCAAGGTATTCTTTGAAGCAATAGAATGAATTGACCCAAAGTGCATTTGACAAGCACATAGTCTGCTGGAATTTACAGACAATGCACATATTTTCTTCAGTGCATTAAAATTTGGATCTCGCAAATTCAAAACAGATTAGGGGTGAATTAGGGCCTGATGGTAAGGACTCATACCCTCCTAAGAAGATTCAGTACTCTCAAGAGCCACTGTGCAATGTTTCTCAGGCTTCCAAACTTTAAAAATTCCTTACCTATTCCTTCACTATCCGCCAAATAAAAGAAAAAAAAAAAAACCAGAAAATTCCTATTTCTAAACCTAAGTTGCTCTGTAACACACTGATATTATATCTCCAGGGTAGTGATGAGAATCTATGCTGCTCCAGTGCCCCAGGTGAAGCAGGTTTGGCAAATCCCAACCCCCCCACCCTCACAGGCATTCAGGTTTTTTGTTGTTTGTTTGTTTTTTAAAGAGACAGAGTCTAGCTTTGTCGCCCTCAGTAGAGTGCTGTAGCATCACAGCTCACAGCAACCTCCATCTCCTGGGCTTAGGCGATTCTCTTGCCTCAGCCTCCTGAGTAGCTGGGACTACAGGTGCTGGCCAGAATTCCTGGCTATTTTTTTTGTTGCAGTTTGGCCAGGGCCAAGTTTGAACCCACCACCCTCAGTATATAGGGCCAGTGCCCTACCCACTGAGCCACAGGCGCTGGCCCTCTCTCTTTTTTTTTTTATTGTTGGGGATTCATTGAGGGCACAAAGAACCAGGTTACATTGATTGCATTTGTTACGTAAAGTCCCTCTTACCTACTGAACCACGGGTGCAGCCCAGACATTCAGTTTTTTGAGACAGAATCTCACTTTCTTGCCCTTGGTAGAGTCCTATAGCATCATAGCTCACAGCAACCTCC